TGATTCTGTCCCAAAACTTCTTCGTTCATCTTTTTACTGAGGCTTTCCTCGGCTGAGGTGCAATATGAACAAAACGCAAAATTTCTGCCAAATTTCGTGAAATTTTGATAAATAGATCTTAAGGCATTGTTGTTTGTTTACATTTCTATTAATTGAAAGCAAACAGAATAAGCGCCCTCACATTGCTCCCAAAGTGCGCATGCTCAACACTTGTGGACGCCTGATATTAAATGATATGTCAAAGGAACGAAAACATAAAAAAAATCTACTGACAACTGCTAGGCAGTTTTCTCAGGTTTCTTTGTACTTTTTTTATTGGGCTGCCCGTGGGGCAACGCCCAATTAAGAAATGAAGAGCACATTCTTTCTACGTCAAAAAAAAAAGGCTTTGCGTGTCCAATCCCTGGGAAGGGAAGGAGGGGACCGGTCATTTCAGCCAGACGACCTGAAATGACCGATCCCCTCCTTCACTTCCCGGGAATGGGACACGCAAAGCCTTCATTTTTGACGTAGAAAGAATGTGCAAAATCACTGCGTTGAGTTATTGACCCTGTATCTTCACCGAATGATTATCTAAATACAATATTCGATGATGTAGTTAGCCTGTGCGGGAGCTGCAAAATAATGTCCTCCCACGGTCCCCACAAGAAAAGTTCCAACTTGTCGCCCGCCCACTCAATACACTTGTTTTACTTTAGACGGACGGGGATGGGTCATTTTCCGGGTGAGTAGAAAAAGAAAAACTAAGAACCAAGACCCAAAAGCGAAGACCCCCCTCAAAATCACTTACAAATAGATAGAAACGGCTATATCGACCTGAGATGTGAAAGAAACAACAAGATCTTCAATTATCAATGCAGGGTCTTCGTTTTCTACAGCCCCTCAAAACCCCTTGAGAACGGCTCCAAACAGTTCAATTTTGCTTGAAACAGCTTCTAGACACTGTCAAGTGGTCGCCTGCGGGAGGTGGTCGTTCACGAGAAGTTGCCGTTATAAGAGAGTTAACTGTAAGTCTGGAAAAAATCTTACACTAGTTTGGATCCAAAAATCTTTTCGAATCAAGACCTATTTGGCCTAATTTTTGTATTTAAAGGGTTCGGGGTTGTTCGNTTGTTAAGTTTTTTTTTGTGTTTGTTTTTTTTCATTATTCTTCTGTTGCGTTCTTGTTGACTAGAGATAAGAAAGTTTTTTGATTTTGTGTTATTTTTTTGTGTGGTGTTGGGTGGGGTTTTTTTTTTTTGCGGGGGGGGGGGGGGGGGGGGGGGGGGGTGGAATGGGGATGGGGAGTTTTAGAATACGTAACCCTGGTCAAATTTATTGATGTAAAGTAAAGGAGGGTCTTCGTTTTCTACATTTAGGGTTTTTTTGGAAACGAAGACCCTGGTCAAATTTATTGCTGATTGAAGATCTTACTGTTTGTTAGTCCTGGAGCAAACGTCAAATTTTAGTGGAACTTGATAGACCATTTTACAAATGTGGACTAAGTACCCTAGCCTTTGAGGGAATGTGAGGTTGAGGTTGACCTTATTTTGATACAAACATCCTTTGTTATGGAAATTGTCCTTGAAAATACTAGTTAGTATAAGAACAACTTGATTTACATAATAAAGCAGGAAGGTCTGTATCAAAACAAGGTCAACTCCAGCCTCGCTTCCATCCACAACTGTAAAATGGCCTATTTGTCGAACCTATTAATTCTACCAAGTTTTCTATTAACGTTCCCCAAAGAACGTCTGCGTGGGTGGCTAGGAGGAATTGAGTGTATTTGATATTATAGTTTTCCTATTTTTAGAAACGAAGGTTTTAATTGTAGCAGGAGCCCATCATTGTAGCTATTCTATCTTATGATATAAAACAAATTAAAGTCAAAGGGTTCTATGAGCCAACTTGTGAATCAATTAAAGGTTTTGTGTTAATCTGTTTAAAACGTAACAGTTTACAAGATGTTTGTGGTAAGGGGGTAGGGGAGGAGGGGGCGGGGCGGTATCCAGTCAGTCAAGGGTAGCTGTGTTTTGAGTATTTTGTAAGAAAAAAATTTTATGGTAGGTAAACCTCTCAGTAAGTTTTGCCTCAGCTAAGCTCAGCTGCCATAGTCAGAGAGTTTGCCACCCGAATCCATACATCGTACAATGTTTTGTGACCCAAATTTTAAGGTTATATGCCGACATTTAAGATTTAGGGGTGATGAAAGTCAGATTTTAGTACCTTCTGTTTTTAGACTGAAAAAGTATTATAACCTTTACTGCTGGGTACCTGAGGTCAACTCCAGCCTCGCTTCCATCCACAACTGTAAAATGGCCTATTCGTGGAACCTATTAATTTTACCAAGTTCTATTAAAGTTCCCCAAAGGACGCCTGCGTGGGTAGCTAGGAGGAATTAGGGAGCTTTATTAAGCAACAACAACGGCGACGACTTCGAAAACGTCACTTAAAAAGTGACTTAGCGCTGCCTCAAACTTTATCGCGCATATTCCATTTCGTTTAATTCGTCAAATGTTGGCAAATTCTTTTGGAGTTGAATTCTAAAAGACTGTATCAAAGTTCAGGAAAGTTGCTGTCTTGTTTTCTCGTCCTCGACAAAACGTGAAATTAGGAAGTCTCACGCTGTAGTCGTGCAACGACGGCAAAGAAATGTACGAAAAAGCGTGATACACGTGCAAAGTTGTTATTTTGCCAATCTAAACCTATTGCTCTTTTGACGTTTTTGCTGCCAACGACTTCGTCGTTGCTTCAGCTCCCTATTCAGTGTATTTGATCTATCTTGAAAGGTTTTAATTGTAGCTATTTTATCTTTTAATATGAAACAGATTAAAGTCAAACGGCTCTATGAGCCAACTCGTGAATCAATTGAAAGTTTTATGTTAATACTACCATAGTCAGAGAGTTTGCCACCAGCAGTAATAGTAGTCTGTTTACGAACCATTGTTATGCAAATGAGGTTGGTCTCCATACAAACCGTTCTATTTTTTGGAGTGATGATTGTCAACATAGGCTAACCCACGGCTAACCTTAGGGGGCTAACCTCATAAGTCCATATTTGGAAGTAAAGAAAAGCGGATACCAATGTCCATATTTGGAAGTAAAGAAAGCGGAAACCGATGTACTAACCCAATCTCTAAAAACAAATACTAACCGCCGTTACAGTAAAAGGCACCCCTAACTGCAGTGCTTAACCCTAATCCGTCGAGTTCAGTGCTTAACCCTAATGAGTAAAGTTAGTGCTAACCCTAATTCACCGAGTTCAGTGCTTAGCCCTAATCGGACTTAATCCGTCGAGATCAATGCTTAGACCTAATCCGTTGGGTTTAGTGCTTACCCCATCCAGTTCGTTCAATGCTTAACCCTAACTGCAGNTGCTTAACCCTAATCCGTCGAGTTCAGTGCTTAACCCTAATGAGTAAAGTTAGTGCTAACCCTAATTCACCGAGTTCAGTGCTTAGCCCTAATCGGACTTAATCCGTCGAGATCAATGCTTAGACCTAATCCGTTGGGTTTAGTGCTTACCCCATCCAGTTCGTTCAATGCTTAACCCTAACTGCAGTGCTTAACCCTAATTCAGTCGAGTTCAATGCCTACCCAACCTAACCTAACCTTGCTTGAAAGAATTTCCCTTGAAGAGGACACGGGTTGAATGGTTATGCTAATGAAGGTGTGCAAGATTAGGCAAGCCCATTGACGTCACCCACTGATCTGCTGACTCAACAGAGTTTGTTTCTATTTTTAGACTGTGGCGTCATTCTTCTCCTTAGAATTGCATATAAAAGGAGGTTAACTGCTATGAAAATTCATTTGACATCATTGTGTCCTTGTGTCAACATAAAACATGCCAAAGGTGACGTATCCTAGACCTTGCCCCCATTGTGGGAAGCTACTCAACAAGCGATTTTGCGATTGTCGACCCAACGCTCACTGTGGGAAGACGACTCCTAAAGTACAATGTCTTTATTGTGAGAAATTGTTCGGACGATTGGACAATTGTAAGCGTCACATGAAAAACGTTCATTTCAAAGGTGCTAAACACAAAGCAGACGTAGGTAAGTATCAGTTAATTCACTATTTGTTGTTATAGATTTAATGAAATTAACTTTTGTTTTTTCTAACTTTTTTCTAGAAGCACAACTGTTACGGTTGGAATTACTCCATTCAGACAAATTTGCTAAACATGCAAGCGATGAAAGTCAGCAGGGTGGGGCTGTGAGTACTCGAAGTATGAAAAAGGACATTGATAGTGAGAAGGCTGACCTAAAACCTCTAAAAGACGAACCACGTATGGTTAAAAGAAAATTAAAAGACCACGTGGACATGTCTGACCTGATGGACGATGGCATGGATGACTTTTTGGTTGAAAGAGCCAAGCTACTAGAGTTGAAACAGAATCCGCTGTTCAAAGCTAATTTGATATTCCTACCATACCAACGGCAAGGCTTAAAGGGTGCAGTGAAGAAAAAACAATTCACCGTCACGTTTGATAAGCTACGTCCACTCACTGAGAAGGAATCGTTGGGAGAGGGATTGTCCGAGGCTCTGTTTTCTGCGATAAGGGACACTATCCTGAAACAATTAAATGCTGGATTCAACATAAGTCCACATATCTTTAACATCGCCTGAACATAGCAATGGGACAGTTCAATCGGGATATTTATCCCATTTGAAATGTGGTATTCCTGTGAAGGAGTTTGTGAAAAGTGGCGACTATGTTCACACGGTGACCTATCCTAGACCTTGCCCCCATTGTGGAAAGCTACTCAACAAGCGATTTTGCGATTGTCGACCCAAAGCTCACTGTGGGAAGACTACTCCTAAAGTACAATGTCTTTATTGTGAGAAATCGTTCGGACGATTGGACAATTGTAAGCTTCACATGAAAAACGTTCATTTCAAAGGTGCTAAACACAAAGCACAAATTAATTACATACCCTGAAAAAGGCGGCAAAGGCCCAGCTTCCAAGAATCCAAACAGACTTCCATAGTGAGCACCATGTTTTACCATGTAAATGACTTTATCGTACGTTATTATCCACGTTTCCTTGAAAGATTCTTGCACATGAGACATAGTCGACCACAATTATTTTGTAGCCTTGTCTTCCAAGAAAAGTTTGAAACTTTTCCAGTTCCTCATAGCCACAAGGGCCTTCAGGTACCCCTTCGTCTCGGTGAAGCTGTTTGGCTAACCGTTCTTGAATCGGTTTCCCTCTGCGTAGATTATCATACTGTTTGTCAGGATCACCATCCACATATTCCTTCATGGTGACAATTGCCCGGTCGCAGCATAATTCATCTGTGTTGTTAATCTTGATCGTGCAATCTTTCTTTTTGTGCATCATATCAAATGGAAGTCTGGCATTGAACCCAGTGGCGGGATTCGTGTTTTGGGCGCTATTCATTTTTCTGGCCAGTGACTCAAACATCGCGTGAACATAGTCGCCTCTTTTCACAAACTCCTTCACAGGAATACCATATTTTAAATGGGATAAATATCCTGATTGAACTGTCCCGTTGCTATGTTCAGGCGATGTTAAAGATAGATGGACTTGTGTTGAATCCAGCATTTTTTTGTTTCAGGATAGTGTCCCTTATCGCAGAAAACAGAGCCTCGGACAATCCCTCTCCCAACGATTCCTTCTCAGTGAGTGGACGTAGCTTGTCAAACGTGACGGTGAATTGTTCTTTCTTCACTGCACCCTTTAAGCCTTGCCGTTGGTATAGTAGGAATATCAAATTAGCTTTGAACAGCGGATTCTGTTCCAACTCTAGTAGCTTGGCTCTTTCAACCAAAAAGTCATCCATGCCATCGTCCATCAGGTCAGACATGTCCACGTGGTCTTCTAATTTTCTTTTAACCATACGTGGTTCGTCTTTCAGAGGTTTTAGGTCAGCCTTCTCACTATCAATGTCCTTTTTCATACTTCGAGTACTCACAGCCCCACCCTGCTGACTTTCATCGCTTGCATGTTTAGCAAATTTGTCTGAATGGAGTAATTCCAACCGAGGCAGGTACAAAAGTCGGACCGGATCCACTCGGACCGCCAGTCCGGGTCGGATCAACTCGGATCGACTCGGACCAACTCGGATCGAATAAAAAAATAAAAATAAAACAAAATTGGACTCGGATCAACTCGGATCTTAAAAAAAACAACAACTCGGATTATAAAAAGAAAAATAAAATCGTAACTGCGTAAATTAATTTTATTTTTATTTTTATTAATTTGAATGATACACTAGTGAGCAGCACACATACACTTCCAGTGAACATTTTCAACTTGGAAGGAGAAGAAATCATGCTCGCCAGGGACAACGAAAATTTTCGTACCCCAGGCGAGAATTGAACTCACGACCCTCCGAATACTACATGTTTATCGGACGTTCCAACCACTGAACAGGAGGGTCACGAGTTCGATTCTTGCCCGGGGCATGCAAATTTCCTTTGTCCCGGGCGAGCATGGTTTCTCCTCCTTCCAAGTTGAAAATGTTCACTGGAAATGTATGTGTGCTGCTCACTAGTGTATCATAAAATCAAGTTTCAGAAGTCCTGCAGAAAAAAAAACAAACAGAAAAAAACAAACAAACACTCTTCGGTAACTATCTAAATGCGATCAACAGACCAGGCTTTTGATGCTTTTCTCATAAATAATTCAGTACACTTATAGCCTGCAGTGCAGGCGTTTTCTTTTATCGCCCAATTTGCTCGCGAAAGCGCCATTTTGAAACTTCCCGATGAGAGTAGTAAGGGTTACTATTTCTATTTCTACTCTCCCCAATCTTCCACTGTCATAAAATCAAAGATGGCGGCTACAACAACATCACGAACACAACAAGGTTTCGCCCACCCAAAATACGCCTGCACTGCAGGCTAGCACACTTATTAATCAAAAATTATGATCACGCTCACCTCATGATGATAACTTATGATCACGCTCACCTCAACTTCTTTGCTTTGTGACAAAAAGCTGCAATAAAATAAAATAAAAATAAGCAAATATATATTGTAGCCGACTGAAACTATCATTTTCTTGGAATGAAGCAAATGCCGAGATTTTACCTTCCTCGAGGTCATCGATATCTGTGAAGCAGAGCGCGTCGTGTAACGCAACCACGAGTTTATAACATGATCCGAGAGGAACTGGCACTAGTAAAACAAAATGGCGCCTGTAAGCTACGGAGAAAAAATGGATGATCTGGCCTTTTTTGCCCCCCAAATAGGTTAAACTTTCAGTTTTGCTGATTTAATTTAATTTTTTGATTGCTCCGAGTTGATCCGAGTCCAATTTTGTTTTATTTTTATTTTTTTATTCGATCCGAGTTGGTCCGAGTCGATCCGAGTTGATCCGACCCGGACTGGCGGACCGAGTTGATCCGGTCCGACTTTTGTACCTGCCTATTCCAACCGTAACAGTTGTGCTTCTAGAAAAAAGTTAGAAAAAACAAAAGTTAATTTCATTAAATCTATAACAACAAATAGTGAACTAACTGATAATTACCTGCTTCTGCTTTGTGTTTAGCACCTTTGAAATGAACGTTTTTCATGTGACGCTTACAATTGTCCAATCGTCCAAACGATTTCTCACAATAAAGACATTGTACTTTAGGAGTAGTCTTCCCACAGTGAGCTTTGGGTCGACAATCGCTAAATCGATTGTTGAGTAGCTTCCCACAATGGGGTAAGGTCTAGGATATGTCACTTTTGGCATGATCGATGTTGAGACAAGGACACAATGATCTCAAATGAATTTTCATAGCAGTTAACCTCCTTTTATATGCAATTCTAAGGAGAAGAATGACGTCATAGTCTAAAAATAGAAACAAACTCTGTTGAGTCAGCAGATCAGTGGGTGACGTCACTGGGCTTGCCTAAACTTGCACACCTTCATTAGCATAACCATTCAACCCGTGTCCTCTTCAAGGGAAATTCTTTCAAGCAAGGTTAGGTTAGATTGGGTAGGCATTGAGCTCGACTGAATTAGGGTTAAGCACTGCAGTTAGGGTTAAGCATTGAACGAACTGGATGGGGTAAGCACTAAACCCAACGGATTAGGTCTAAGCATTGATCTCGACGGATTAAGTCCGATTAGGGCTAAGCACTGAACTCGGTGAATTAGGGTTAAGCACCGCACTCGACTGATTAGGGTTAGCATTGCACTCAGTTAGTTAGGGTTAAGCACTGAACTCGGTGAATTAGGGTTAGCACTAACTTTACTCGAACTCGACGGATTAGGGTTAGGTTGGCTCGATACGGTTTTCCAGGGTCAATACCTCCCAAGTTTGCGCATAAACTACGTCGCCATAAACAAAGTTTTGAAAAAATTGCCACCACAGTTGTATTAGATAAAGATGAAAATTTGTTATGATCAGGGTTGCAACGGCATCGGAGTTGTCGTAGCAACGAAATGACGCTATTACCTATTTTACTTGCAGCAGTATAGCTCGACACTAGGAACTGTTCTTCCAAAATCGTTCACGGCAGCTTTTTCCTCCAATAGCGGCTTCGATGTTTGTGAAGTTTAAGCGAAATCTGTAAGAGCGTTATCGAGATATTTTGGGATGAAGTTTTTATGGTGAGAAACACAGTAAAAAATGGACAATATTGTTGTTTGGCCGTTATCTGTAAAAAATGAAGAGCTTTTGACATGCAATTTCACCTCATAGTAGTTTCAATCTTTTTAAAAACGTGTGTGAAAGATCATTTAGATAGCTCCAGCCGATTGCTAGAAAGAAGGGTTTGATTAGTATGTATCGAAGCGCTCTTGTTAGCGGTTTTGTAAACATTTTGGTCTTCTTTATCAAATTAGCGAATAATTTTTAAACCGCTCGATAGATTTTTAAAAAAATTTAAGGTTCTTGAGATTAACCTTCCTTTTATATGACCTTTTAGTTTCAAGATAAAAGGTCAAGATAACATCGAGGCCGCTATTGGAGGAAAAAGCTCCCGTGAACGATTTTGGAAGAACAGTTCCTAGTGCCGAGATATACTGCTGCAAGTAAAATAGGTAATAGCGTCATTTCGTTGCTATGACAACTCCGATGCCGTTGCAACCCTGATCATAACAAATTTTCATCTTTATCTAATACAACTGTGGTGGCAGTTTTTCCAAAACTTTGTTTATGGCGACGTAGTTTATGCTCAAACTTGGGAGGTATTGACCCAGAAAAACTATATCGAGCCACCTTAAGCACTGCAGTTAGGGGTGCCTTTCACTGTAACGGTTAGTATTTTGTTTTTAGAGATTGGGTTAGTACATCGGTTTCCGCTTTTTTTACTTCCAAATATGGACTTATGAGGTTAGCCCCCTAAGGTTAGCCGTGGGTTAGCCTCTGTTGACAATCATCACTCTAAAAAATAGAAGGGTTTGTATGGAGACCAACCTCATTTGCATAACAATGGTTCGTAAACAGACTACTATTACTGCTGCCACCTGAATCTATACATCGTACAATGTTTTGTGACCCAAATTTTACGGTTATATGCCGACATTTAAGATTCAGGAGTAATGAAAGTCAGATTTTAGTACCTTCTGTTTTTAGACTGAAAAAGTATTATAACGTTTACTATTGGGTACCTGAGCTTGCACCTTCCTGCAACGGGCGCAACGTTACTGACTTCACGTACGCAACAGTACTACGAAAAAAGCAATGATTATTTAAAATAATGTTAGCTGAAAATTTTCAAAGATGTCTTGGCAATTATGCAGTAATTTCAAGGAATCATCCACAATTGAAGATAATACAAGGCGGCTTAAATAGAGACCTTGCAAAACTACGATACATACCAAGGAATGAAAAATGTCCACTACAAAAAATAATCCGAATTTCTAAAACTACTTCGAAATCAAATAATATACTAATATTATAGTATACTAATATTTTTCACTGGAAATTAACTGCTGCAAGTCAAGTACCTGACGGTTAAGGTGGCTCCGTAATTAATACTGCAGCATTTAGCTTTGACAAATTTTCCGTCATAACTTTTTCGTTTTTAACGCAATGGCTGCGAAACTTTGCAAAGAACAACAGATATCATTCGGCAATAGTACGAAATATTCCGATTTCATTGATGGTAAATATTTCTTGAGAAATTAGCGCTTAAAAGGACCCTACTGTTCAAAGAAAATCGCTTCTAGTAAAAAATTTTGCTGGTATTTTTTACTGAAATTTTGAAGTTCGTTAGTAAAAGTCGCTCAAAATTTGGCTTTGAAATTGTTTTGGAATTTCAAAAATAAATTACTATCAGATAGAAGAAGACACCAGTTCGAATTTTCGAATATCCCTTGGCAGTTTTGGTTCAAACTCCTGCTGCATACATTTTAATGTATTGCAATGCATTTTCAACGACTTTTACTGCTGTTCGTTGCTTCCAACTCAGGAAAAAGGTATTGAGATTGGACGCTACCTCGTATCAGGGCTCAGATAGAACTGTTCAGCACCTTTGTTTATGACTACAAAATGAGCACGAGTGGCAGTTCCGCGAAGAATTCGCACCTCACCCAAGGGGGACGAACGACAATGATGCCCATTCCCGTGAACCGTATTACATCAAAGTGCAAAATAAAATTAT